AATAATTCTTTTTCTATGGCAGAACTTTAACCTGCTGTTATTAATTTTAGATGTTGGTTGTTCTAGTCTTCATTAGTTCTATAACATGTGTTTTTATTGTCAACTACTGATGAAGAGTCTTATTAATCGAAACGTTTAGTTGAGCAATAAATAGTCTGCGAAATAAAATGGAAGAAATAAAAAGATTACAAAAGATTGCTTGCTGAAAAGGAAGTGTTGGGTGCAACAGATTGACTCGTGCTGCAGAAATAGTGGTCGATTCGGTTTTCGATTGATTCACCCTCAATCAAGGCTCATTTTATTTTAAAAATTGGGTACGTTGCCTTTCTAGCTGCCTCACTATCTATCTTTTTGCCTGCACGTTGAAAATCGTGGTCCTTCATTGATAGTTAGAAATATCGGGTAAAGGTAGATGTGAAAACACTTTCAGTTGATAGTCGCGGTCCCGGTTGTGGGTCAGAAAAGTTTAGATAAAGTAGATGTGAAACGTTCAAGAATCTGTAACAGGTAAGGACCTAACCGATGGGTAACGGTGAGGGTGATCGTTTCAACATCATACTTTTCTCACCATCACTGATTCACAATCAGGAATCACGATTAGTATCAGAATATAGTCAACAACAGCTTCCAACAGCTTTCATGCGTTGCTCGATATTAAGCAATGTAGCTGCAGGACTCGTCATGAAATATTGCACAAGTAATTATATGTTCGAAAATTTCCAAGTTGCGTAAAAGAAGTATTTTGTCCGTAATCGTCTGTTTAAGATATTCATTTGGATGAATTGGATATCACGGTTTCGTTCGAGCGAAGCTTATTAGTGTAACTACACAGCCATTGGACATGACTCATGGAAGTAATGACAAGACTCGAAATTTTCAACTTGCTCATCCGGCGTATTTTGTCCGTCACAGTCTAGTGAAGATATTCATTTTGAAAAATGACTTGTATATGACGTTTCCCTTGCGAAATTTCCAACTTGCTCGAACGAACGCAATAGCCGTAATCAAATCGTCATTACAAAAGGGTGTAGCAGCTGTATGTATAACTGAGGCATACCATTTAAATTATTGCTATTGGAGGACATACAAATAGAGCTGCTAACAGACCAAGGTGAAATCGACTTTTCTCTGTCATTATTTGTAGTACACGCAACGATTATGCTTGTAGGGATGCTGAAATTCAATGCTTTCGTATTTGTTATCTTTTCGATTATCGCATTTCATTGTGACAGTGTTCCTGTCAATACCATAACTCAACAGCAGTATACAACGGTCCAAATTGGATGGACCCGTACCCAAGTAACAAACTTAGTTGGTAGTTCAGGACGCGTTGTCGCACAAGCTGGTACGGGTAGTGCGAACGTTATTATCGTGGAATATACCGGAAATGGAACTGGAGCAATCAACGCCGTAGTTGCCTTTGGATTCATCGGTGGACAACTCGTCTCCAAATCTGAAGTCGGTTTCGTTGCTGCAGTCAACAACAAAATCACTCTACAACAGTATAGTACGATACAAATTGGCTGGACCCAGCAACAAGTTACACAACTTCTTGGTGGTACTGGCAATATTGTCTCTCAAGCGGGAACAAGTGATTTGCCATTTTACACTACCACAGTTCAATATACCAGCGCACAGTCATCCATCGCGACCGCGTCTTTCACATTCACAGGTGGATCACTTTCCGCTAAAAGTCAACTTGGATTAGACACAGGCATTTATACCATAACTCAACAGCAATATACAACGGTCCAAATTGGATGGACCCGTGCTCAAGTGACAAACTTGGTTGGCAGTTCAGGAAATGCCGTCTCAGAGGCTGGCACTGGTAGTGCGAACGTTATTATCGTGGAATATACCGGAAATGGAACTGGAGCAACCAAGGCCGTAGTTGCCTTTGGATTCATCGGTGGACAACTCGTCTCCAAATCTGAAGTCGGTTTCGTTGCTGCAGTCAACAACAAAATCACTCTACAACAGTATAGTATGATACAAATTGGCTGGACCCAGCAACAAGTTACACAATTTCTTGGTGGTACTGGCAATATTGTCTCTCAAGCGGGAACAAGTGGTTCGCCATTTTACACTACCATAGTTCAATATACCAGCGCACAGTCATCCATCGCGACCGCGTCTTTCACATTCACAGGTGGATCACTTTCCGCTAAAAGTCAACTTGGATTAGACACAGGCATTTATACCATAACTCCACAGCAGTATACAACAATCCAAATTGGATGGACCCGTGCTCAAGTGACAAAGTGGGTTGGCAGTTCAGGAAATGTCGTCTCAGAAGCGGGCACTGGTAGTGCGAATACTATTACCGTGGAATACTCTGGAACTGGAGCAACCACTGCCGTAGTTGCCTTTGGATTCGTCGATGGAAAGCTTGTTTCCGAAGCTGAATTTGGATTTAAATAAGACAGTTTTAGGTTTTAGTTTTGTGTTCTTCTACTTTTATCAAGATTATTCCAAAGACTTGCGTGTGGTGTTTGAACAAAGAGAAACTTTTTCACTGTAGATAACCATGCATTTTTCCACTCACAGTATGACAAATTCCCACGGTTTTTTTTCTATTTACTCCATTCAGTTGTAGAAGTTGAACTAATTTCTTTTTCAAGTACAGAAGCTTTGTCTGCCATTTATTCAGGAATAATCGTACGCATGCAACGGTAACAGTTCTACCGCTACCGTTCTGTCGCTATCACTGTAGCTAACCGTTTGATTATATGTTTTATGACATACAGCTAAGTATGCTTCAAATTCAAAAACTGAAGACAACGTTTTGGCTTTTTAGTTTGTTTCTTTATTCCTTGTTTGCTTGGTGGAGGCATAGTAGCTAAATACAGATATGAAATTATCATTACGAACACAGTAGCACATGAGGAATTGAAGGTGTCTCTTATCGAAATTAAGAAACATAAGAAGTAAGACCATTTAAAGAATACCATGACGGAAAAGACCGTTCACATTAATAACGATTTTTTGAAGTTTAACGTGAACCTCTATTGTGTCGAAAGTGAATGTCTACAACAGCTCGATGAAATTTAGACCCTGAGGATTTTGGGAATTTTTCCGTTAAAAACCTATTAAAATGCGTTACTATTACTTGCCTAGTCAGCAGAAAATAATATTTATTTCCCTCGAAATAATTAAAATCGATGGAAAAATTGTAAAATTTTAATTTCAAGTAGTTCATTTTAAAATATGTTTTATTCGTAGAAACCTCCTTTTTGTACTACCGC